CATTCAACTTGATTTTTGACATTTCTGTGTGATTATGTTCCCTAGTTTAGGTGTAATTTTGATGTAGTTGTGTGAGGAGGTGAGCTGTGTTTACCTATATTGCCATCTTGACTTGGAAAGCCTCTTTTAAATCCCTGTGGTGTACTAGGTTAGAGAAGTGAAATCATTTTGAGTATCTTTCAAGGGAATATGTCATAGAAGGATTTGTGGGATCAACATAAATAACAAAGACCTCCTAAAGAAAAAAGTCAGAGGATTAATAAGATGAGTATCGAAGAATTTTCCCCATCTTTATGTGAGACTCAACAATAGAAATGATCAATCTGAACTTAATCCTTTTTTTGACATCAAGAAGTAGTGATTTAGAGCAAAGAAGTCTTTTGTGAAATGTCTTGTTTGCCTTTACAATCGGAGTGTCAGATCATCTGAGGAGTTTTGGAAATATCTAACCATGTTCTTCAGTTCTAACCTCAGAATAAACACATAAAGCATAACACTCACAACCACCACACAACAAATATAAACAAAATAATCAGTCTATAAAACCAGCTTTTTTTTTTAATTGGCCTGTTAAAAGCTCTTTTCTTTCAGAGCCATGATTTCTGTCTTCAAACAGGCTTATAACTCTAAGTCTAGCTAGCTAACTTTATGCTAAATCTAGTAACAAAGTTTATTAAAAGAGGTCTTTTTCTATTTTCATTCCTGTACTCCAAAAATTCACCTCTGCCTCAAGGATTATGTAAATGGATTATATTTCATCTGCTTAGAAAGCTTTAAAATTGTAGACTCCCTTTCACAAGTTAAAACACGCTGTCTACAAAAGGAACAATATTGACAGCTTTGCATGAGTTTTGTATATCAAATCATTGTATTTTCATAAACATCTATTTCATGAACTTATATAGGTTTCTTGATTTATTTAGATAACAGAAGCCTTGTAACCACCATGTGGAATACTGTGCTTTCACAAAAGGGGAAATGTCAGCTCTCTAAAGTTTTCACTGTTTAAGCTTAATTAGAAACCTGCATTTCTCTTAAAAAGATTCAGACTGAATCTAGGGTTACTACTAAGCAAGAAAATAAACACAAAACAAGATAACAGAAACTAAAACTGAGAAGAAATAAGTTGAAAAGGCAAAGTTGATATATAACCTATAAATCAGAAGAAAATCGAAATGCATGGAATATGATTACTGAATGAGTTAAAATTTAGCTTTATGTTATTTTTTTGCAAATCAGAAAAAAACCTGCTCAGCTACACAATTTTAATTACCATTTGATGAATACAGAAACATTATAAAAATACAAGCACTCCTAAGTGATACTGATAAACCTATGAGTATCTTGGACAAAATTTTTATGAAAAAAATGCAATGGTTACTTTTATTGTTAATAACATTGCATCCAATGACATTTAGGAAAAGAATATTTATGAAGCAAATGATGTGCATATATAGGGGATTACTGTGCAATATAATCAGTCTGTATAAGTATTTCTCTGTTGACCTGATGTAGACCAGCAACACACTAAGTGTATATACATGTAAAGAAAGGTTGTATGTCAGTAAATCATTTGTTTCTGTACAGTGGGCTTCCCCCTACCCCTACCTCTGCACTTTCAGCAGCAGCCACATCCTTCTCTTCTTAATTTCACTCTACATAAACATATTCCTCTTTTTGATAAAGTACAAGTATAGAAAAAAATTATATATATCCTGAGATGTCTTGAGTTTACTTATTAGAGTTTGATTAATAAGTATTTACTTTAGAAACTGATGTACCGATAGCCTTTGGGCCCAGTGAATCTATACTGAATCCTTACTTGAAGACAGTTAAAAATCCTTGAATGAATTATGGGACCAAAGTTTGTGAAGTTAGAATTGATATCATTCTGTAAAAGTTGAATTGTTTAACAGACATATGCGCCTGTCAGGGAATTAATCCTTGTGTTCAAAAGACTTCTTAAAGCCCTGGATGGTGTGGCTCAGTCCACTGAGCACTGGCCTGCAAATCAAAGGGTCACTGATTCAATTACAGGTCAGGGCACATGCCTGGTTTGTGGGCCAGGTCCTTAGCTAGGGATGTGTGAGAGACAACCAGTAGATTCTCTCCTTCTCTCTCTCCCTTCCTTCCCATCTCCCTATTAATAAATAAATAAATCCTTTAAAAAATACTACTTCTCAGAATATATTGTCTTTGCTTTTGAACTAGTTGAGCAAGCAAGCATTCTACTATAGAAGCCGCAAAAATTTTACCTAATATTGCATAGCCCCAGTAGTTTTATATTTAAAACAAACAAAAATGTTCAAGCTCATGTTCAGTCTAATATTTTTCTCACTTATAGTTTTTAATAACATATTAGAAAATGCCTAGATTTAAACAATGTTGTTTATATCTTCTATAAGATAAACTATTTATATACTTTATACAAAGCTAATCAATTGAGAGCACTATTTATGTGAACTAATATTTTTAAACATATAATGGTGAAGAAATCTTTTCCAAAATAATAATTTTAGTTGAACACATTTGATCTTTTCAATAATCATATGTATGAACATAGCAGTATGTATGCACATTTTGTAAATATAAGCCTTTTATTTTAGTATACTTTTACATTTACAGAAAAGTTGCAAAGAGAACATAGAGAATTCTCATGTACCCTTCATCCATTTTCCCCTGTTGTTAACATAATTTTTGTATCACACAGTAACAAAAAAAACAACTTCGTTTCATTACAGAAATCTAGATTCTATCTGAATTTTACAATTTTGTCCACAAATGTTATTTTTTCTATTCCAAGATGCCATTCAGAATATCTATTACATTTCATTGATATGTCTCCTTAGTCTAATCTGATATATGACAGATTCTTAAACTTCACCTATTTTTCATAATTTTGACAATTTAGAAGAGTAATAGCCAGGTATTATGTAGAATGTCACTCAAATTAAGTTTGTATAATTGCATTTTATTTTAGTTAATTTCTGTTTAAGGAAATAAAACCATAGCATATGTGAATACAGCAAATTATTTAGAACTGTGCTAAAAAATTGTAGATTTGTTGAAGATAATGAAGAACACAGTCTTATATGGCACATAACACCTTTCAAAGCAATCTAACAAGAGCCTATTACTATTAATATTACCTTTCTTAATGGTATTACAGTAAAAAATCTGCATAAGCATTATTACCAGTGCAAGTCAGTATTAACATTTGTACATGAACAATTTTTATCTAAAAAATCAATGGCTCATGCAAATGTAATTATACTGAAAAACAATTGAATGTGTTACTTCTTGTTAATTTATTAAAAATTTTGTCTAAAAGTTTTATGACATTGGACTTAGCAATGATTTTTTGAATGAGACATCAAAAACACAGGGAAGAATAGAAACAAGAGAGAAATTAAACTTCTTCAAAATAAAAATAAGCTTTTGTCGATCAAGTAAGGAGGCAACACAATGGATAAAATATTTACAGATATATCTGAAGAGGGGTTAATATCTAAAATATGTAAAGAATTCTTACAGCTTAACATTTAAAAAAATGAACAACCTGATTAAACATGGGTAAAGGACTTGAATAGGTATTCCTCCAAAGATATAAAATGACTGATAAGCATATGAAAAAATGCTAAATCATTAGGAAATTAAAAATCAAAACCACATCAAAATTCCACTTCATACCACTGATGATGGCAATTAGAGAGGGAGGGAGAGAGATAAACTAACAAATGTTGGGAACAATGTAGCAACATTGGGACTCTGTACATTTCTGATGTGATCATAAAAAGGTACAGCCACTGTAGAAAATTGTATAACGATTCCTCAAAAATTTTAAGATAAAATCCTATGTGACCCACCGGTTCTATTTCTGGCTATAACTCAAAAGAATTGAAAGCAGAGACTCAAACAGATATGTGTACACTCTAATTCAGAACAGCATTATCCAAAAGAGCCAAAAGTGGAAACAACCCAAGTGTCTATAGACATATGAATAAATAAGTAAAATGCTGTATATACATTTAGTGAGTATTATGCAGTCTTAACTAGAGGACATTATGTTAAAATGAAATAAGCCAGATACACATACACACACACACAACAAATATTGTATGATTCTTCTTATTCGAAGTACCTAGAATAGACAAACTGATAGAGGTAAGCAGTAGAATGGTGATTTTGGAGGCTGGTGTGTGGGGGTCAGTGGGGACAATGGACAGTTATTGTTGAATGGATACAGAGTTTTAGCTTATTAAGATGAAAAGAGTGCTGGTTATGGATGGTGGTAATGGCTGCACAACAATGTGAATATTCTTAATGTCAATGAACTGTACACTTAATATGATTAGAATACTAAATTTTGTCCTCTGTATATTTTACCACAATGAAGGTAACAAATAAATAAGATCTATAATGGGAGAACTATGAATAAACATGCCTGATATGTATGCAGAATATTTGCAAAAGATAATCATATTTTCATTTAAGTGTGAAAAATTGACAAAAATATGAACTATGGGATGCCTTGGAGGAAGGAAAAATCTTAATCAAATATCCTTGAAAGCATGCTAATAAATAGGACTACTGGTAAACCTACAAATGTTATTAACAAGTTGAAAATTCTTATCTTAAAATGTTTTTAGGAAAATATATACAATTTTCCTAAAATTGACAATATATAAAATTGGTTATTTAAATACATATGGAATTGAAATTATAGGGGGTATAGCTGGACAAAGTATGGAGGTTAGTTATGCAAACTCTTTTTTTTTTTCTTTTTTTGTGAGCAGTCATCTGATTTATAGAGGTAACAAATATTAAAATGATACAAAATATCATTTTCAAAACAACATCAAAACGTGAGTGCATTTAACTATACACAGCTCATAACAGAGCAAGTGGGTGAGTGGAGCAATAATAACTCATTCTGTAGCAGGTTTAATATGCTGGCAAGAGAGAAAGTTGGTTGAAGTAGAGAAAGTTTGTCTTAAGTACTAGAACCGAGGGGCTCCATAATCATCTGGCATCCGCTCAATGTTGTACCTATGATTAGAAAGGTACATGATGGGAACTCCAGGGATCTTCCTGATTCTCCGTTTAAGGTCCCGGTCAACTGTTGCCACAATGTAACTCTTGTGCTGAGTTACTTTCTGTACTAAACAGTCATCTGCATAGGTTCCTTTGTGTGTGCACGGTAATCGTTCAAATCCTGGATCCTTGGCGATCCTTAGAGCCACTCGATACTTCTGCCCCAGTTTTTCAGTTTCAGCCATTACACAGTCAGTTATACATGGGATACACTTGGCATAGAGACAGTCCATCATTGACTGCACTAAGTCCAGTTTAGCCTTAATGGACAAGTTGATAAAGTTGGTATCAACCAGGATGTGGTAAGGTGGGCCCAGTTGTGTGTTATATTGGAAGAATAAGCAGGGAGAGTATTGGGGAACTTCTCTTTCCTTGAGTGCACTAGGATCTTTCTTTTCCTTCTTTTTAGGTTTTAATCTATCTTTTTCTTTAAGCCTCTGATCTCTCAGACTAAGCATTCGCTTCATGGTCGCGTATTTCCTTGTTTTCTTTTGCTTGCCCATGATCACTCCGCACTCTTGTTTCTTCTAGTTATGCAAACTCTTAACAAACGGGCCTTAAAGCAGAGATGCCTCAGAACTGAAAAGGCTTCCACACGTCCTTCCATATTTTGATGGAAAGAAATCTGTCAAAACCCAAATACAGTCACTGAGAAAGAAAGATCATTTCATGGACATTTGTCTTGATGGACTTTTATTAAAAAAAAAAAATTTCAACTTCAAGTGTTCTTTTGCTTGTAGAGCTCCCAAGAAATTCTTTGATTTCTTGAATCATTATGAGAATCTGGTGCTGGATGAAATCTGTTATTTACGTTGAATTCTATTTGACAACTCAAACCTTTGTGCTATCATACATGCGTTATCCAATAGAAGATCCATTACAAAATTTAGAAAAGTAGGAATTGAAATTTTAAAGGTATGGGTTAAATAAGTAATTTTAAAGTTGTAAATGAGGTCATATTAAGAAATTATGCAAAATTAAGATTGCACAATTCAGTTTCATTTTGCTCTGAGCCCGTAGCCCTTGCTGAGTAGCTCATTTGGTTAGTGTCATCCTCCTCAACCCCCACTCCTGGTACTCAAAGGTTTTGGTCAAGGCTCATACAAGAAGCAACCAATGAATTCATAAATAAGTGAAACAGCAAATCAGTGATTTTCATTCTCTTTCCCCGCCTCCCATCCTCCAAAATCAGTAAATAAAGAATATTTTAAAATATCACTTTTAGTGCCATACACTAGCGATGAAAAAATCCAAAGTGGAATTAAAAAACAATTTAAAATAATACAAACATGTATTCAATGTAGGTTTTAACATCTACTGGGAAGAGAGATTATGTTGGGTCTTAGTGAAAAAGATGTCTGAGGATTAAAAAAAAATCAGGGCAGTTGAACTTGTTATATAGATTTGGGAAAAATGCATCTCCTAGTAATTAGTTGAATCCCTACAATGTAATTCTCCAGGTTCAATTATCAAGTAATTTTATCCCAGAATCAATGTTCATTGCCAAAAATAACAGTTTAATCTTCAGGACTTTATTTGAAAAATGTTTTAAAATGTGCTAAATAAAAGATGTCTGTGTTTTAAATTACATAAAAATTTAGATGTTTTACTAGTACTTTAATCAACTTAGATTGCTCTTAAATACCCAGGAATTCTTGATAAATGAAGTATTAGAAAAGAATGTCCTATTTTGTAGTCATTTTTTAAAGGTAGGAATAGTTGTCGCTACGTGCAATTTGCTGCTTGCAGAGAAGTTGATAGCCTTGGCTCAGGAGGTTCAAAATGGAAGGTGGGATTTTAAATAGTTTCTCTGCCAACAACTGGTAAACTGTAGCTTTTGAAAGCTCCTCTGCCAACCTTTCCAGTGTAATCCAAAATGAAGAACACTCTACACCAATGGTTAAAGATAAAGAAAATGAGATACTTTGTTCTGAATTTTGAATATTCATTCTAAAATTCTTTAGAAGCTTGAAGTGGTTATTGATATTATAAATATGATTAGGTAGCAAATGGTGATATTAAAAAATACAAGGTCAACATTATTTTGTTTTTATACAGTGTTCAACATTTGTATTAAATGGGCATGATTATTGAAATGCAATCAAGGAAATACTTATTTTTGTCTTCACTTCTTAAAATTTTTCAGAATAGAATGATAACTTTCCTGCACCTTAATGAAAAACTAGGACATTCCTGTGAATTTTCATTACTCTCGGGTAATAATGATGTTTTAATAATAGTGGTCACATTGAGGGTCAAACACACATCAGTTTGGTAATTGCATATATCTAATCTCATAATTAAGACGTCAATTTGCATTTAAAAAATGACTCCCATAAATTCTCAAACAGGACATGGCTCAGATGTATTCACCTGCTTTTAGGGAATGGAGTGTGGTAGGTTTTCCTCTAGCCCTATAATTCCTCTTCTCACTAGAAAATTTTTACTAAAACCAAAGCCACTGACAAAGGTGATAAAACTCTTAAGATGTGTGCTCTCTGACCAACCATAAAAAGTTATTTTCTAATGTAGCACTATGATGGCTTTGTACTGTATCAACCTAACTGAAATTAGATTCTGAAAAATATTCTTCCCTGTATGGTTTGGTTTAGGCTTGACTGCAACAGAAATTTTCTTGACATTTGGATGAGAGAGGTGAACTAACATCCATTATTATTCTCTGAAGGTAAAGCCAACATTATTGGAGTAAGACCAGACATTATAGCAACTTCCACATGATGACACTGATCTAGATAGAAGCTCAGGTCTTTGGCTTCAGCCAAATCTCAAATTGCAGCTGCTTTAGTACCCAATAGATGTCTTCCTTCAATAGCTTTAGATCCTGGGCCAGGCACGGTTGCAGTTCTAGAGGAAAGGCCTTCCAGTGTAACATGTAGGTAGCCCATAGCATAGAAATTAGAGTCATGAGACACAGATCAAGTTTCCACTGGTCCTCAAAAGTTATGGTTTGTTCTCATACTGTCTCTGTCCAAGCCTGACACTATCACGGAAGAGAAAGATATTGCATAGACTATGTACCCAGCTTTCATAAATGTGCATGGTCTGGCCCCTCTAATGAATCCCTAATACCCTGCTATTTTTCAAATACCACTCCAAAGTGTGTTCTCTTAAATTTCAAGAGGGGTACATACTCCCTTATTTTTCCATGTATAATGTATACCCATATTTTTGCCCAAACTTTCAGAGTTTAGAAATATTAAACTTTCAGAGGTCAAAAGATTAAAAAAATCTTTTGTTTTAATTTTTAATTCAATAATTTTTAGTTATGTTTAGATACTTATTTTTGATATTATAAGGTAATTTTATCATTTATTTTTGAAAATCTGACGCAAGAAATTTTATGTAACAAATAATTGCAAAACACAAGAACAGATACAAGGTTCTTTCAGGTACTACCCACATATAATGAGCATCCTTATTTTTCCCTAAAAAAAATGGACAAAAAGAACATACATTATGCATGCCAAAATACAGTATGTCCCAAGTTGTAGGAAATATACAGTGTTAGTCTTTGAAGCCCCAGACACTAAACTCAAAAGAGGAGTGGTGCTTTGATAGAGGTGATCACTCCCTCTTATGATATAAATTGGGAATCACAGCATAGTGCCACACCGAAGATACTTACTTCTCTTTCAAGAACTTTCCTCCATCTCAGTACCCTTGATTAATTTATCTCCTTGTAGCTTGAAAGAAATCGGGATCCTACTCCCACATGGTATTCTGAAAGCTCACTCGGTCATCTTTTTTCATCCTAACGCTATTTTCAAAGCGAATATTTTAGCATCATTTATTTAATAGACAAATATTTTAGACATACTGATTCATTTAATCCACAATACCTGGCTATGAAGTGAAAACTGAAGGTTCAGTTTACACAGAAAGCAAATAATGACTTTTATTTGCTTTTCTAGCCAATTAAGCTACAAACTGTACTGTTTTAAAATCCTCCTTTTAAATCCTCCTCGACATGTTTACTGGTTTTAGAGAGAGGGGGAGAGAGAAAGAGACAGAGACATCGATGTGAGAGAAAAAACGCTGATCGGTTGCCTCTCATACATGCCCTGATTCGGGGCCAGACCTACAACCTAGACATGTGCCCTGACAGGAATTCAACCCACAGCCTTTCAGTTTACAGTATAATGTTCCAACCAACTGAACCACACTGGCCAGAACTCTTATTTTGTTTTGTTTTCCAAACTACTCTTTAATGTACATTGACATACTGTTTTCAGTGAATTTCAGTAAAGAGTATGGAAATATACAACATTTTACTGAGTTTTAAAGTAGATCTATACCACCTCCTCAAAAAAAAAAACCCCACAAAAAATATCAAGAAGACTTTTTCATTCTTGGTTCTGTACAGAATTCAAAACAAGGATCTAGTAACTGTGTGGGAGAAGTTCTTCTCGACCCTCTTAGTCCCTGGCTTGGTCTGAAAGTTGAGGTGACAAAGACAATTAACAGGAAAAAAGCATGCAAATTTAAAATTGTACACCTTGGTAAGAGCTCTTTCAAGAGAATAAAGACCTGAAGAAGTGATAAGAACAGGAAGCTCTTATGCCTTTTAGACAAAGAAACAATAAACTTGTGAATAATTAACAAAACAAAGAGATCTGGTCCAGGGACAGTAACAAGGTTTGTTTGAAGATACCTCTTTTTCCTCTGGAACAATAAGATTATCTCCCATAAAAGGAGACTACTTCCTGTCTTTAGGCAGAAAAGGAGGAGTTTTCTGCATTTACTGCTTCATTATTGCCTTCAGCTCAAAATAAGTTCTTGGTCACAGAGGGAAATTTTGTGGTGAGATTCTGGTTTCCTTAATAACTAAATTATAGAATGAAATTTTTTTCAGTGTTGTAGATTGTTAAAGTCAAACAGTTCTGAAAATCAAGCATTTAAAACACACACACTTGTTTACTTAACACCTATGGTGCAAAAAAACACAGCACTGTGGAGTCCCATTCTTCCCACTTTTCCTCAAATGATGAGGTGAGATAGTTCCTAAGGATGTCAGAAATCCTACTGGCTTATGATCTTCCAAAAGTGAAAACCTCAGAATGCAGCAGGCGTTCCACTTCCGACCGACGTTCTTTTTCCGTAGACTGGGTCCCCTTAGTGTAGGCTGTAATCATTTTCCCCTCTTCCTTCTCGAAGCACGTGAAAGCTTGCGTTTCGTAAGTGAGAGAGGAAGAAATTTTCACTCTACACAGGACTGAGCAGCTAGACCCATTGACAGTCTTATCTGAAGGGCTTCTGCCCTAGGAAGAGCCCCCGATCCCTCAATATTTTCCAGACTTACCTTCCCCTCCCTTTTTCCTGGCTCAGTAGTGTATTTCAGCGTACATTTCCTTTCTCTTCCAGGAAAAGACAAATTAATAATGCCTGCTGTAGGGGTTTTGCACCAGTCGTGACCTCATTTGGGAATGTCTCACATATTTTCATAGGTAACTCTTTCGTATCATGCTGCTCCCGGATAAATGTAACCACCTAAGAGAAGTCCT